GCTCTTCATACATATATTTATTTAATAATATATAAATATAATATATATCAATAATATATATAATAGCATAATCGCCAGAATTTTTATAGGTCTGCCGCAATTACGTATAGTCGAGTGCCAAGATTGCGTATGTATTGAACATTGCACACATGGTTGTGAGTGTCGATATATGCTACATGTAACGCACATGTGCGACAGTGTATTATTATGTGTGACGCAGTACACACTGATCTCGGGTCGGTTTTCGGCGAAAATACCAGACTTTCACCGCTCATTTACCTCCGCGTAGGGGCATCGTAGAGACATGCGGTTTGTTTTATATTAACAAGGTAGGACAGCTGATCAATAATCCTGCAAAGAATCGTCAAAACGGGGAAAGTTTATTAATTCGACTAATACTGCAACATGGATTCAGCATTTCACCGTTGTACGCTCTCCTTCTTTATACGCTCTTGTTATCATATATCCCTCACTAGATATACACTGTCTATATTCAGATGGTGCGCTTCAGGCAGCAAAGGCAGTTCTTTATCTATTAATGTTATTAAAATGTTATCAATGCAGATGTATCTCTGCATTGGATGCTGCGAGGTCGCGCATCATGATCACAAACCTGTATGAAATGAAATGTACATGAAAAATGCGTATTATTTATCAAAAGCGTATAAAGAAGGCCTTTTTTATACGCTCTTGGTATTATATGAACATGGCGTTTTTCCCCTTTCCCCCGCCACGCCTCCTCCTCCTCTTCCTCCTCCTCCTCCTCCTCCTCCTCCCACTCCTCCTCCTCGTCGTCCTCCTCTCCCTACTCCGTTTCCTCCCCTGCCATTTCCCCCACCTAAAAGTTTCGCACCACACATGCGATACCCTTTCCCACCCCTCCTCCTCCTCCTCCCCTTACCTCCTTCTACCCCCTCTCTCCTCCTCTTCTCCCTCCTATCTCCTCTTCCTCTCCTCCCCTCCCAACGTTATAGCCTCCCACCAACACGTGCGATACCCTCCCTCCCACACCTCCCTCCTCCTCGCCCCCTCCTCCTCCTCGCCCTCTCCTCACCCACGTCGCACATCACTGATGGTATCAGACTGTTGTCATAAGCATTTGTCCGCGCGCACCTCTATCCTGT